AAAAAAAACAAGAATCTCTAAACTTTCCTGCCTGGGCTTGTTTTGAACTGTAACCCTCAGATCTCAGCCTTCTGAATAGTTAGGATTACAGGTATAAGCCACCAGTGCCTGCAAGATATGTTATTTTTTTTTTCTGCCAGTACTTAAGTAATGTTAAGTTTTTCTATCCTGGCATTTAGGTTGTAAGCATCAAGAAAAGTAAAGGTGGCTCAATGTCTTAGCCTCCCTGTCTAGGGAGTGGATTAGTGCAATTTTGGTTGTATATGGGATAGCTATATCTCATTAGGAGAATAATCATTTAACAAGATGCATGAATACTGAGCTGACAAGGAATGGACTTTGATGGTTTGCTTTCTGAGAGGCCTTGAGGAATCTGATTAATCATCATTTCTGAGTGTGTCTGGGAGGCTGTTTCGGTGAGGTGCCCCTTGAACCAGCAAAGTAAGCAGATGGTTCTCTCCACCCACTAAGGCTAAGCACAGAGCAAGAGAGTGGAGGGTGGGGAATTGGCTCTCTCCCACTTGACTGTTGAACTGGGACATGTTTTCTGTCCTCATCTATACTTCTAACACTTATTTACCCTCTGGCTTGGAGATACATTGCATTCTGAAGCATAGAACTTTTTTTTTTTTTTGGGTCCGGTCGTAGGGCCTGAACTCTGGGCCTGGGTGCTGTCCCTCAGCTCTTCAGCTCAAGGCTAGCGTTCTACCGCTTGAGCCACAGTGCCACTTCCGGCTTTTTTTTTTCTGCTTATGTGGTGCTGAGGAATTGAACCCAGGGCCTCATGCATGCGAGGCAAGCACTCTACCACTGAGCCACCTTCCCAGCCCCGAAGCATAGAACTTTTAATATCTTAGGAATGTTGGCCCAAAAATCAGGTGTGGTGGTGAGTGTCTGGAATCCCAGATACTTTGGAGGGTGAGGAAAGAGGATCACTTCAGCCCAACAATTCAAAACCAGCACTCAAGGCAGACATTGGTGGCTCACGCCTGTAATCCTAGCTACTCAGGAGGCTAAGATCTGAGGATTAATGTTTAAAGCCAGCCCAGGTAGGAAAATCTGTGAGACTTTCATCTCCAATTAACCACCAGAAAACTGGAAGTGGAGCTGTGGCTCAAGTGGTAGAGCGCTTGCCTTGGGCCGAAGAGCTGAGGGACAGCGCCCAGGCCCAGAGTTCAAGACACACGACCACCAAAAAGAAGATTAATAAAAATAATCTCACAGACTTTCTTCCCCGGGCTGGCTTTGAACCACGATTCTCAGATCTCAGCCTACTGAGTACCTAGAATTACAGGAGTGAGCCACCAGCGCCCGGCCCCCCTGAGACTCTTAACTCCAATTAACTAATCACTCAAAAAAATGGAAGGAGTGCTTTGGCTCAAAGTGGTAGAGCACTAGCCTTGTGCAAAACAGTTCAGGAGTGCCCAGGCTCTGAGTTCAAGCCCCATAATCAACAACAACAACAAAAAAAGCATGGCACTGCCATTGACTTACACCTCTACTCTTGTGTTGGTGCCACCTATCTTTGTCCCTGGTTGGTGCCCTCCCATTCCTGCCCCTTGATCTCCTGGCTTCGAGCCAGGATGTCCGGACCTGCCATGCTACACTACACCTCTGTCCTTCTGGCTGCTGGAGTAAGGATGTGGAGCAGGGTTTTGCAAAATCAGGTGAGTGCTGGGGGCCCTGGAGCGCCAAGGTGTTGTTGGGCAAGCTGGGGACTGTAGCTAGTTCCCTAAGGTTTACTGCCACACTGAGTGAGGCCTTGAGTTTGTTCACTTCCTCTCTCAGACTAGCAGAGGGCAGCAGAGCCCATGGAAAGGCCTGGCTCACACTGAGCAGGCCGGGTCCACAGGTCTGCAGAGCTGGGGGGGGGGCGCCTAGGGCTCTCTGCATAGCCAATTTTACCAGCGACAGGTGGAGACACTCAAAGGTGGCTTGCAGACAATACCCCTGAGATTGTCGTGATAGGGCAGGAGGTGGGGGAGCTGCTGGCAAGTACAGTGACCTTGAGGTTTGCCAGAAGGTTTGGGGGAGGGGAAGCTGTCAGCCAGAAGTGAACCTTGAAGAAAGTGCTAGAAGAAGAGAATCTGTCCCTGTGGAGGAAGCTGAAGGAGGGAGGTCACTGTGGCCTAGAGCCTGAATATACCTATTTATAGGTCCATAAATATGGTCAGAAATAGAATAGGCAGATCATTTTGGCTAGCTCATAAAACATGGCCTAGCACTGTATCTTTTTAGATGTCTGTCTTGATCATCTGGTTTTGTTGTTGTTGTTGTTTGGGGTTGTTTTGGTTTGGTTTTTGGTGCTACATTTGGAACCCAGGGCCTCACACATGGTAGTGCTATTCTACCCAATCCTTGACCTTTAATTTTAATTGTTATATTTTTAATTAGCAGGCTTCAACCCCTACCCCCACCCCAACCAGGATCTAGCTCTGGCCTCCAAATCTCACACTTCTCTCCTTCCTTCTTGTTCACAAAAGCCATTCACCTGAGTGGTAGAGTGCCTGCTTCACAGGCACAAGGCTTTGAGTTCAAACCCTAGTACTGAAAAAAACAAACAAACAAAAACAAAGGAAGGCCATTGTGTTTGTCCTTTGAATTGGCAAGAATAGAAGGAAGAGGTTGAACTTATTTTCATAGATGATCGAAATTGGGGCATGCAGCTAAGCCAGTTCCTAGGAGAAACCTATAACTCTAAAGGCATAAATCTGAGGGCTGGGAAGGTGGCTCAGTGGTAGAGCACTTGCCTAGCATACATGAGGCCCTGGGTTCGATTCCTCAGCACCACATAAAAAACAGAAAAAGTCGGAAGTGGTGCTGTGGCTCAAGTGGTAGAGCGCTAGCCTTGAGCTAAGAGCTGAGGGACAGCGCCCAGGCCCAGAGTTCAAGCCCCATGACTGACCAAAAACAAATAAACAAACAAACAAATAAATAAATAAAGGCATAAATCTGAAAAGTAGGAAAGTTGAAAATCAATAGTACAGGCTGATTTGTCTGTTCAGTGTCTAATCAGACCTAAAATATTTTAAGTTCTTTCTTGGAGGTTAAAAGAAAGATTTTATATAAGATCAATTTTTTTTTAGCAGAATACAATTTCTTTCTTTATTTTTTTGTGGGGGTTTGGTCGTGGGGCCTGAGCTCTGGGCCTGGGCGCTGTCCCTCAGCTCTTCAGCTCAAGGCTAGCGCTCTACCACTTGAGTCACAGTGCCACTTCCAGCTTTTTTCTTTTTGCTTATGTGGTGTTGAGGAATCAAACCCAGGGCCTCAGGCATGCAAGGCAAGCGCTCTACCACTAAGCCAACTTCCCAGCCCTAGCAGAATACAATTTAACCAGCTGCTGGTGAGGCAGGAATTTACTTCTTAGGTTTTGGAGGAATTAACATGAAATAAGCTGGTTACCAGGGTCTAATCGCTATAATTCTAAGCTACTCAGGAGGTTGAGTCATGAAAGACTGCTTTTCAAAGCCAGGCCAGGCAAACTAATCTGAGTGACTTTCATACCCAAATGACCACTGAAAAGCTACCTGGATATGTGATTCAAATGGTAGAGAACTAGCTGAGCAACTTGTCAAACACTTTAAATCCAAGCCCTAGTACTGGCCAAAAATAATAATTAATGTAAGACAGAATGGCAAAGAAAAGGGATAAGAAATTGACATATTTGATGTAGCACAGGTCCTAAACACAAAATAAAGCCCTAAAAATGTAGCCAAACCTAATTATTTTCCAGTCCTGGGGCTTGAACTCAGGGCCTGGGCACTGTCTCTGAGCTCCTTTTGCTAAAAGCTAGTGTTCTACCACTTGAGCCACAGCGCCACTTTTTCTGTTGATGTGGTACTGAGAAATTGGCCCTAGGGCTTCATGCATTCTAGGCAAGATTCTACCACTAAGCCACGTCCACAGCCCTTTATATGTTTTTATATTAGGGCTGGGAAGTTGGTTCAGTGGTAGAGTGCTTGCCTTGCATGCTTGAGGCCCTGGGTTCGATTCCTCAGCACCACCAGAAAACTAGAAGTTGTGCTGTGGCTCAAGGTGGTAGAGCACTAGACTTGAGTGAAAAAGCTCAGAGAGAGCATCCAGGGCAAGTGCAAGCCCCAAAACTGACAAAACAAACAACAAACAACAACAACAAAAACATTAGTAGCCCAAGCTCCCATATCAAGAAGGTGGTTAAAAAAAAACACAGCATATAGTAGTGCTATGGCTCAAAGTGATAGAGTGCTAGCTAGCCTTGAGCAAAAGAGCTCAGGCCCTGAGTTCAAGCCCTACAACCAACAATAGTAATAATAATAACAACAACAATTTTGGAGCTGGGAAGGTGGCTCAGTGGTAGAGCGCTTGCCTTGCATGCATGAGGCCCTGGGTTCAATTCCTCAGCACCACATAAGCAAA